AATAGTTATTGCTTTTTGGAATTGTAATTATAAAAGTTGCAAATGAAAGAATGAAGTGCCATTTGTTTCTGACAAAACCTAAAAGAAATTCAATGGAATAACTTCAGGTAATCTTGGAAGGCATGATAAAACTGCTTCACCAATAAAATCTTCTAACTCTTTCTTTTCATTTATAACCAAGTGTTGTCTAAATATTGATTCATCAATTTCCTATTTCAATCTGATTCCAACAGGTAATCAGTAATGGATTATATGATGGCAACAATACAAATAGCCCACTACCAAATACATAAACACTTGTACACTTGTATTTAGCTAATGTGTAGCTTCTGCTACACATTAGCTAAATACAATACTAAATAAATACATAAATCACATTGTAATAAAACAATGTGAATAAAATACTGACTATCTGGATTATCTTTAAACTATTGGAAATTAAATTTCATTCAGACAGAACTTGTGATGTTTGAATCAACTCTGATTACATTCTTCATCAATCTCAGTTCATCACCTCTACCTGAGAACATTCTAACCTGGTAGGTACCTGAGACTTAGATGTAGAAAATGTCTTGGCTTCATCCAAAATCTCTCCTTTCCATTTTTCTGAATTATCATCCTGATTTAAAAAAGAAATCCTGACTAATCAGGAATATGATGGTCCAGGAAAAGCTTACATCTACATCTGTTTAATTCAAATCCAGGTGGCCATCCACCCCATCCAATTGGTTCCACACTTTTCTAAAAGAGGAAGAAAATTGTGACCATTTCACATCTAGATTGACATTTAAAGACAATAAAAACTACCCTTTTCCTTATCTCCATCTGGATGTAATGTTTCCAATGGTTCTCAAATGGTCTTCTCTAAGAGATGGCTAAATGTGGCATGTATATTATANACTTTGTGAAAGGGAAAAAGTTCTACACTTAGAAACTTCGAAAGAAGGGATTTGGCCTGTACTGTCCGCGGGCCGCATAAACATTGATAGGGGGCCGTATGTGGCCCGCGGGCCGCAGGTTGTGCACCCCTGGTTTAATACTAAAAACATAAGAAATTATTATAAAATGAATATAAAGAACATTGTAAAGAATAAATGAACATTTAACATGGCATTTCCTATGATGAAGCTAAAAGAAAAGGAAAGCAATGGAACTGGGTGTATTCAAAATCTCAGCATCAATACAGTAAAATGCTGCTGGAAGTGACGCAACTGCTGGCGTTTTCTAGACAACACAAAATGCTAATTGCCAGGAATTTCTGTAGAGATAAACAATAAAAATGGCAAATGATGTGGACTTCCATGTTATGTTAAATTTATTTTTGAACTTATTTAATAAGAACAGCTTAATGAAAAGTGAATATTTCAAAAAGAGAAATAGGATAAAGACTTTTAAAATTTCCATAAGAGTTTTAAATAATTAAATCAATCCTAAGATTACACTTTAACAACTAAAAAGAATTATGTGATGTCTTACGTAAATATACTAATATATTAAAATAATCTATTAATGTACTAACCAAATATTAATTTATTCAGGGTTTATTCATCAATAAATAAATTCAAAATTGTTAACACAAAACAGAGCTCTTACAAGCCTCATGGTGGCTGCCATCTTGTTTGCTGGTGAATCAAGCACTCACTGAAAAAGATGCTTGCAGTTTTCTGGAAGCACGCTGGCAGAAACTGGAAGTCATCTGAGATTTTGAACACAGATGCTGGCTACATGCTGAGATTTTGAATACACCCAATGTTTGGCTAGACATACAGGATGATGCTCACACAATGAGAAACAATGTCACACTGAGCAGGAAAACGTGTGGGTCGCCCTTTGTTTTCACAAAATTAGCAGCGAGGTCACATGGACATGGTGACAAAATCTGAGGCAATCAACAAAAACCAAGACAAACTTTTCACAAAAAAAATTGACGAAAACCAAAACTGACGATAACTGAAGTCAACGAAAACAGAGGCATTACTGTATTGGTCTAAAAAAAATCATGTAATTAGCAACAGAGAAATAAAGAAGCATAGTGCTACAGATTGCTAATTATGACATATTATCAATACCTCAAATCTAAGATGCACCCTATTTTCAGAAATATTAAAACCAGAAAAAGTGCATCTTACATTTGAGAAGAATTAATCAAAAATCCAAGAAGACTTTTGAGGAGAGTACAAAGATTATCTAGAAAATTACAACCTCCATCAAAATTTGTCACTTACAGTTCACAGAAAGTAGCAACAACTGATAACTTTATTTTATAAAGATCCAAAAGCCTGGAAGATTAGTTAGAGATTTGTATTCATAATTCTTGACACAAAGTACAAAACTGAAATATTATCAACAATTATATTCAAAAAGATATATTTCATCAAGAAAGCTTGACAAAGTTTTGAAAATTTCTCTAAATCTAAAATTTTATCAAATTAAGTAATCAATAAAACAAAATTCAATATATGCTCTATCCTTTACTGATTAGAAAATATTGGTTCATCACATTGCTTTAATAAAACAAAGTTCAAAACAAAAAAATTAAAGAAAGGTTGTGAAGAACTATTCTGACTTTCATTTATATTTTGAAAGAAATTATCTTGATTATCTTAGAAAGAAATCCTACAATATAAAGTGAATCTGATTAATTAAAGCTTCATTAATTGAAATTATTTTATAAATCAATTCCTTTGAAATTCATATTTAAATCAATGCTTAAAAAATACAGTTTATTCAAACTTTTTTTAGAATAAATTTGAATAATTCAAAGCTAGTGTAGCTTATATTTTCAAAATNTTATTTTCTAAAATAAAAGACATATATGATATACAAAAATTTAATAAAATTAAAATTAAAAAATTAATTGTAATCATTTGGAAATATACAGGTTATTTTCTAGGATTTCCTGAAATAAAAAAATAATAATTTTGATGTGCCATCTTTATGTTTACCTTTATTAAGTTTACTATAATTTCCTCTTTGTGTGATGAATGAAGTTAACAATTCATTTTTTATAAGTGTTTTCCCAACACACTGGAAAGAATAGTTATTGCTTTTTGGAATTGTAATTATAAAAGTTGCAAATGAAAGAATGAAGTGCCATTTGTTTCTGACAAAACCTAAAAGAAATTCAATGGAATAACTTCAGGTAATCTTGGAAGGCATGATAAAACTGCTTCACCAATAAAATCTTCTAACTCTTTCTTTTCATTTATAACCAAGTGTTGTCTAAATATTGATTCATCAATTTCCTATTTCAATCTGATTCCAACAGGTAATCAGTAATGGATTATATGATGGCAACAATACAAATAGCCCACTACCAAATACATAAACACTTGTACACTTGTATTTAGCTAATGTGTAGCTTCTGCTACACATTAGCTAAATACAATACTAAATAAATACATAAATCACATTGTAATAAAACAATGTGAATAAAATACTGACTATCTGGATTATCTTTAAACTATTGGAAATTAAATTTCATTCAGACAGAACTTGTGATGTTTGAATCAACTCTGATTACATTCTTCATCAATCTCAGTTCATCACCTCTACCTGAGAACATTCTAACCTGGTAGGTACCTGAGACTTAGATGTAGAAAATGTCTTGGCTTCATCCAAAATCTCTCCTTTCCATTTTTCTGAATTATCATCCTGATTTAAAAAAGAAATCCTGACTAATCAGGAATATGATGGTCCAGGAAAAGCTTACATCTACATCTGTTTAATTCAAATCCAGGTGGCCATCCACCCCATCCAATTGGTTCCACACTTTTCTAAAAGAGGAAGAAAATTGTGACCATTTCACATCTAGATTGACATTTAAAGACAATAAAAACTACCCTTTTCCTTATCTCCATCTGGATGTAATGTTTCCAATGGTTCTCAAATGGTCTTCCCCAAGAGATGGCTAAATGTGGCATGTATATTATAAAACTATATTTTAAAAATAAGAAATTGATTTGTGCAAAGATTTATTACAACCATGATAAACTAATAGCTAGGTTAGACCTATAGAATAGCAGTTATTATAATCTACAGATATTTATAATTAAAATATATTAATCTATTTTTAATTTTGTACACAAAGTGCACCAAAAATATTTTTCACATTTTACAGTGTGCCAAGAGCAAAAACTAAAAAATTGAGACCCAATATCTATCTAAAAATTAAATATTACTTGAAGGAGTCCTTTATTTCAATAGAATAATAAAATTTTGAAATAGCATTTGTTGGAATTAATTATATTATTTGCCAATTATTTCCATATGAACAGAATTAATATAGGTATCCTTTGTTTAATATTTTCATTTTAAAAAATTTATTTGTAGTAATAATGTCATGTTTGACTATATAGTATAAAAATTATTCCTTTTATATACATTGTAAAATGTACATCGCAGCCATTATTCAAACATGATTGAAATTTTAAAAAAATTAGAATTCTGCTGTATTCGATCTATAGAATGATTTTTTTCGTATGTGTTCCTGAAGAGGGCTGATAAAACTGTGACCAAAAAAGTTTGAACATTAGCGAGGTTGAGGCCAAAGTTTTAAATGTGAAAATGTGTATGTCGGAAATTCAGTGCCTCTTTCCTGTAAGCCTAGAAGTTTGACAATGGTGTTTGGAATGTCGAGCATGATTCCACTGACTATCCAAACACCATTGTCAAACTTCTGGGCTTACAGGAAAGCAGTGCTGAACGTCCAACATACATGTTTTCACATTTAAAACTTCGGTCTTAACCTTGTTAATAAATATTTGTGTATTTTATGCTGGAAATTTTGTGTTTAGGTGTTATTCTGTTCATGTATAGTTCCAGTTTACTTGTGCAGTTGGTGGTTTTTTTTGTTTTATTATGTTTTGTATTCTGTTTTTTGAAATATCTGTAAATGTATCATCAAAATGTTTTTAACTTTTAACAGATTAATAGATTTACAATACAGATTTTACAGAAATTAAAAACATTTTGATGTAAACAATGAAATGAAGCACAAGTAGAGAAAAGAATAAATATTAAAAGGTTTTATGAAAAGTTTTGTACATAATTTTTATACATACAAAAGAATTATACGAGAATCTGAATCAACATTCTTGCTCTGTTATATTTGTACTCTTGCAAATCCTTTGAACCTTTAAAAGAAAAATTTTCATAATTAATACATTACACATTTACAAACAGAATATATATATTTATAAATAAATAAGCAAATAAATTAACTACACATACACTCATTATATATATATATATATATGTGTGTGTGACTTTGAATATTGCAATATTGAAATAGAATTGAAGCAGAGCCGGAAAGAAAGAAGTGATCCCTGCACCTGTTAGGCACAAATGAGACAATTCTTCTACAGTACCTAACAGACACAGACTGGTGAACTTTGCACTTGACACTACAAAAGAGGTTATCCTTGTACATTCAGGCCATGGGATACATGATTCTTGCAAAGAGCAATCAATGCGATTGCTTTATTCTTGTGTTTTGTTCATTTTACATACTATTTTCCATTAGGTACATGCAATACTGTTTTTATTTTTGACTCCTAGGCCTAAATTCCATTACGTATGCTTGTGACATCAGAGAGCATAGACATTGTCACTGTAATACCTTTGTATATTGAAAACAAAGTCATGGACTCTTACTTTTATTTTCTTAACTCTGTTATCTATAACGGAAGGAAAGTATGGCAATCAGTCAAAAAATGACCACCTTAAGATTTTTACATTTTTGAACTTAGGGAACCTTGAAATGTCAAAAAATGCAAAAACATTCAGTTTTTTTTTTCCTGTATGTATGACTGTTAATGTATGTGTGTGTGACACAATTTTGTTCACCCTCTTTGAATCTTAATAACTCCTGTGCTTTCGAAAATTTCTGAAATTTTGCAGGAAGGTTTGTATATTAGAAAGATTCATGCTGTTAAATTTTGGTAGTTTAAGATCAATGGTGTGGGAGTAGAGGGGTCAAGTGTCATATCTCTAGTAGGGCCAGACTTAATGGCAATTTTACTCTTTATTAGCATTTATAATTTTTTATAAAATCCATTCCTACCCTCAAACTTAAGTTTTTTGCCATTTTATAATAGTTAAAAATGTAAACAGTTTTTTTAAAATAAAATATTGTAACAAATAGTGCTACCAGAATTTTAAATGTTGCCAGGAAAGTTAAGTGATTCATTGCTGGATTTTTTACATTTAAATGGACCCACATTACATTTCTGGATTCCTTGTTGCAATTAATGTAAAATGGCAGAGTTTTATCAAAATCGATCCATTAAATTTTGAGAACAAACTAGATTCTATGAGCCTGTACAAGACATACTAGTGATTATGAAATATCGCAAAGCATGTGTCACAAAGCAATATTGCATGAATTGTGTGACTTTGTCGCATGATTCATGTGATATTGCTTTGTCACACATGCTTGTGAAATGTCCGTATATCTCAAAAATGAAGTCATGGATCCCAATTTTTTATTGCATTCCACATTGCAATTAATGGAAAATGGCAATTTTTTATTGCATTCCACATTGCAATTAATGGAAAATGGCAAAGTTTAATCAGATTGATCTACAGTAGAGCATCGATTATCCGACTCAAATGGGGACTGGGGTTGGTTGGATAACTGAAAAAATGGATAACCAAAAAGTATGAAAAAATACATTATTAGGATAGTATATTAGTATATCCCATGTATTTAGTATATTAACATATATTAGTATATCACTATTAACATACTTCGCGTTGAACTTTCATCGATGTTAAGCCTAACAAAATTTTTTTTAAATAATAATTGTCACTATTGTATCATTATAAATTATTTTATTGCTCACAAAACAAACGACCACTCATAATTAGAAAATTAAGCCTCATTTAAATACTGGCCTCCCTTTCATGGTCGAGCCAATGTTGCCAGTTAAAACACGCAAAAATTTAAGAAAAATAATATTTTTCTTAAATTTTATACATAGCCAAATACTGTAGGGCCACATCACTAGCGGACATTTGAATTTGCCGACTAGAATGCAGTCGGTTAACCAATGTGACAGTTGATCAGGGGTCGGATAATGCTCTACTGTATCTGGATTTTGAGAACAAAAACAATTCTGTAAGCCTCATAGAAGCCGCTCCGCTTCAACTAGTTTCTCGTAAGCACATTTGAAAATAAAAAAACAAACAAACACGTATCTATATGTACAGTGCAATAGAATAGTTTAATAATAGAAAAAATACGATAATCCAATATTAAAAATATAAAATGAAGAAAGAAACCTTCAGATTTGATACACTTTCCTATACAATAAATACTAAATTATAAAAGTAACTTATAAATATCTCAGATAAAGGAAAGGCATCTTGTAAAAACTAATCAATATTACTTAAAAAAATATGTCATATATACTTGAATATAAGATGCCATCAAATCTAACATGCTCCTTAATTTCTACTTGCTCATATATAGAATTTTGTTTTGAAAAATAGACAAATTTATGTAAACAGAACTAATTCTGTTGGCATTAATTAGTTCAGTATTTACTGCATAGTAAAGTAAGTTACTGAGCAATAAATACCACTGTCTTCTGTGGCATCAAAGCCTCTTCACTATCAATGTTAAAAGTCTTCTGAATTAACATTGAATTTGATATTCACATCTTTCCATAGACAATCATCATCATTGTTTGAAGCATCAGAAATGCAACATTGATACAGAAAAGACATTGTTCTTCTGTCAATCCAACAAAAAGTTGTATTTAGCCTTATTTATTTACCTGCACAAAAGCATATAAAGCAACAGAAATGCAACATTTCTTGAAAAAGAGCTACACAACTTTTTCTGCAATTTTCATCCATATAGTAATAACATTACTGTAATAGACTAATGAGATTAAGCTAAGTTGACCTTTTAAATGTTTACTATTACAGATACAGTGTTCAGTTTTCATTGATAATCCATCCGAAAACAATCAGTGAAATCCAAAACCATTGAAAACTGAGGCAATTACTTCCATATGAATCAATGTAAATCCAATTAATTTGTTCTAGACACTCCAAAATACATACCAAAACACATTTTATAGAGAATAAATATAGTGTTTAATCAGGGATGCACAACCTTTTTTGAAGAAGGGCCAAATTAGGATTAAGTTTACTGACTGGGGGCCAGACCTCCAAGCGATTAATGCGATGGCTGAGATTGGATGCTGGCGGCAATCTTCTTGATGTCTGGTGTAATGGCAGATGTTGAAACCACCAGCAGATTTTCCAAATTCTCGTTGGTTAACCTTTCCATGTTTTGCACTTGTTTAAATTCATAAGCGAAAACGCTTGTTTGCATACATAGGTACTGACAAACATGCTTGCACAAAATCGAGCATTGTCTTTCAGTTTTGGAAATGATGTATCTGGCAGTTCTTTGTAGAATGTGAGGAGATTAGAATTTTTAAACTGTGATTTCAATTCATCACTGCACTGGATGTCTATCAACTCAAGTTGGACATCTGGAGGGGCATCTTCCACTTTCACATCAAATGGAGTTGAAAAAAGTTGCAGGTAGATCTTGTATTTCTGGAATTCACCAAACCTCTCATTGAATGATGTAAGGAGGGTGTTAACTTGGTCAGAGTAATCCATCTTCATATGTGGGTATTTCTCTTTCATGGCCTTGCAATGTGGAAAGTGTGTAAAGTTCTCTGATTGCATGTGGGACTTGAAAAGTGATAGTTTGGTCATAAATGCATTGATGTTACTTGTCAACTGAGAAACAAGTTGCATCTTTCCCTGCAATCTCAAATTAAGGTCGTTTAGATAAGCAGTAATGTCAGCAAGGAAAGCTAAATCACACTGCCATCTTTGTCCCTCCAAATTCCTTGTAGTGTTCCCCCGTTCTTTGAGGAAAGTGATAATAGGCCCCAATAGCTCCACAAATCTCTTGAGGACTGTTGCCTTGCTCAGCCAACGAACTTCAGTATACGTGGGCAGGTCAGCATAATCAGCATCTATTTCTTCAAGAAATGATGTGAAGAGTCGATGGTTGAGTCCATGACGGCGGATTAAGTTCACAGTATCATAGACATCTTTCAGCAGACGTTCAAATCCCAGCTTCTTTGCACAAAGTTGCTGTTGGTGAATTATGCAATGATACTGGACTAACTCCTTTTGCCTGTCCCCAAGGTGGTTTTTCAGCAAGGTGACCATGCCATTCTCACATCCAACCATAGATGGTGCTCCATCAGTGGCAATGCTGGATAGCTTGTCAAAGTCCAGTGCTGATTTGTTGCAAACGCTCAATAAACCAGTAAGTAAGTCAGCACCAGTTGTATGTCCGGAAAGTGATGCCATGCCAAGAAATTCTTCATTCACAATAAAATCTAGTGAAACACTTCTAATAAACACAATCACTTGTGCTGTTGATGATATGTCAGTGGATTCGTCCACAGCCAAAGAAAAATAAGCACAGTTTGCAACTAAAATATTAAGTTGGCCAGAAATGTCTGATGCAATTTGCGAGATTCTCCGTTGTATCGTCATGCGGTTAAGACTGATTGTTTGAAAACACTTTGTCTTCTCAGGACACATCTTCTCACTTGCGATGATAAGACACTTTTTTATCATATCGCCATCTGTGAAAGGTTTCCCATTCTTGGCTATTAAAGCAGATATTTCTAGGCTGGCTTCAACAGCCGCATCCAATTCTCCAGATTGTTTCTTGAACACATTTTGTTGGCTGATTAGTGATCGTCGTAACGATTCGATTTTCCGTTTGCGTTCCGTACCTTGCAGAAGGAAATCCTTGTGTTGGCTTTCATGATGTCGCTTCAGGTTGAATTCTTTTGGCACTGCTATTGTTCCATTGCACAAAAGGCAAATAATGCTGTTGTTCTGTTGCACAAAACAGTACTTGTTAGTCCACACTTCCACTTCTTGAAACTGATGATTCTCGCGATTGACCTTGCGTTTAATGCCCGGCGCCATACTGTTCACTCTGCAAAACAATGTCTCATTGTGCCGAAAATTCTGAGGCCCGCAACAAATCATGTTTGAGATAAGGCAAGCTAGACTACCACGTGCTTTGTTCTGTATCCACTCTGACCAAAGACTAAAGAGGCGGGGACAGAAGACTATT